TCATTCTTGCGGCTGCCCGGAATCTGTTTCCTTTTATTACCTCTCACAATCGCTCAGTTTCCATTAGAATATACAGTCTTTCACAAGCTCCTTACCTCTTAACAGAATCGCCGCAACTTGCAGTCATCAATATGAAGTTTGTCGCTTTCGTTGTATCTGCTGCCACCTTGGCTATTCCTACTCTAGGTCAAACCAGTGGAGATGGATTTCCAGACTGTGCTGTATGAATTCGACCTATTGGATCTGTAGTAGCAATAAGTTGCCGAACTAATATGACGATGTAGATGAAAGCAGGATCTGCACTTCTACAGGGAGCTGATTGTGCTCTTGGAGACCTTAAGTGCACTTGCGCGAGCGATGCTTTCATCCAGAATGTTGTGACGATGATTCCTCAAGTCTGCAACGCCGAAGACACTGCTAGTATGTTAAGTTCGAAACGAACACACAGTAGAAGACTGTACTGACTTACCACCTTGTTCAGCCGTCGAAAACACCTTGAAGAACATTTGCGCTAGTGTTGGTGTCACCGTCACCTTCCCCGACCCAGCCGGCAAGTCCTCAACTTCCGTCGCTGAGCAGTCCACATCCTCGTCAGTTCCCGCTCCAGCATCGACCACGGGTACCGGCGCAGAGGGCACTACTCTTTCAGCCGTTGCGAGCGAGACTACATCTGCGTCTGGCGCAGCCTCTTCTGGCTCCGCGTCTGAAACCTCCGCTGCAAGCTCGCCGTCTGGACCAGGGGTGAGCGGAATTGCCTCTCCGTTTGCGTCTTTCACTAAAACTCCGGCTGCTAGTGCCTCGCTGCCCGGCCCACAACCCTCGTACGTCACCGCCGGGGCTAATTCTCAGCAGGTAGACATACTCGTCAAATCGCTGATAGTTGGGTTGGGCCTTGCGATTATGGTCTAGGCCGGGTTCGAGGTAAAGAGTTCAATAATGAGAGTCTTTCCCCTTGGCCGCCTTCAGGAATCTGAGTGCTCATTTCAATCAGTGACCAAAACAAGGCTACCAAGAATCGTGTACATTCCCCGAAGACCTGAGGAAGAAAAGGGGCAAGAGATTTGTGATCGGGAGGATATGGAAAAGAAAATTGGGGGAAAAAAAACCAAAAAAAAAAAAAAAAACCATTGTTTTCTACTGTTCTGTTTGTTCTAACATGAACAAATATTGCTTCTTTAAGTTGGAGTCACTAGATTTCTGACAAGAACAACTTTCCTAATGTAATAATTCCTCTTTCAACTTCTATTCGTGACATGGACTACTGCGACCGTTGCTGGATTCATCACCCATCCTTACCCGGTTTAGTGGAATGATGACAGCTAGCTAGTCTACAGCTACGTCTCTACACGTCTACTCGAAGATTTTATTTGCCCATTTCCCAATCTTCCCGTGCTCCCGAGGGACATAGAGTTCCTCATAATGATCAATCTCATCCTTTAGGCCACCCAAACTCAGATCCACATCGCCAGGCCGGATCCACTTCGTCTTGAATATGAATTTCCATGCCACAAATGCGACAATAAAGAACCCTATCATACCATAGTCCAAGAAAAACCACATCACACTCCATCCGCCGGTCATGAAGAGGTCATATCCGGAGACGAGAAGGATGAGAGCCGTTCCACTCATCGCATAGTATGAGGTGTAGGGTTGAAATCTTCCCTTGTAAGGAAGACTATCTCGCGAGACTCCTTGCTTGTTCATTGCTTTGTAGAAGTGAAGACATATAAACGCAGTAAAGCCGTAATTGATCAGCTGACAGGCGGTGATGAGGTCAACCAAGTAGGTCATGACCTTAGCGGACGACGAGCTGACTTGCAGGAAGGCAAGCAAACAGAAGGACAAAGTTGCAAACAATGCATATATGGGCACGCCCCCTTTCGTGCACCAGGAGAGAAACTTGGGTGCGTGGCCCTCAAGTGACATGCCGTGGAGGGTTCGAGTAGCGGCGAAGAGGAGACCATTTCCTGCGCTGAAGATGGAAGTCATGATAACGGCATTGACCAGATGCGGAAGAAAGGGTATTTCAAGGCGGTTCATCGCAATGATGTAAGGTGATGCTGCTGCGGTACCTGATCCGGACTTCTGACCGCCTAGGATAGCGGCAAGAGTCTCGTCGTTGTATGGAATAACAATGCCCATGCACAATGCGGAGCCAATGAAGAAGACTAGCATTCTCCACGTGATAGCTCTGAATGCCGGCTTGAGGATTTTCCGGGGGTTTTCGGTCTCAGCTGCCACCATAGAGAGATACTCCGGTCCACAAATACTATAAGACTTGTTAATACTTCATTTGGGATAGCGAACTGGGGAGGTGATAATCTTACGTAAAGCTGGCCTGGTAGAGACAAGATACAATACCGAGAAAACGGCCTGTATTCCCAGGGACAAGATGCTCAACAAAAGGTCCAGGATTTTTCCAATATCTAAACCCATACGCATCATGTAATGGATTGCCTCCGACCATCGTAATGAATGTGAAGAAGAATATTCCAAAAATGAGGACAACCTTAAGTATCGAAAGGTAGAATTCAGAAATTCCAAAATATCGAACAGTGATCATGTTGAGAAGGGCATACAAGACAATCATCGCCACGATGATTGCCTCTACAGGCACCTTGTCGGTCCAAAAGGAAATCATGAGATTCATAGCAACCAGTTCGAAGGGGACAAAGAACGCCATTTGGAAAAAGAAGTTCCAAGCCATAGCGAATCCCAATGCATTATCAACCCAATCACTGCCGAGACGGACGAAGGGTGATGGGACCGGCGCATAGGTGACCAATTCAGCGAAGCACTCGTTAATTGCCCACATAACAGTACTCCATATCAAGAAAGCGATGAGGAGGCCGACAGGTCCTCCCTTGGGCAGGGCAGACCCCAGCTGTACGTATAGAGCTAGAAGTGGGTGTTAGCGTGGAGCGTCATAGAAAACTCAATTGCAAGGCTGTACTTGCATGTTCCAATTGCGCCACCAACTGCGAAGAATTGCACTTCTCTACCCCTCAACTTTCTGTGCAGTGATTGAGGATGAGAGTGGTGAGTATGTATGTTCCCAGTAGTTCCAGCATCAACATCATGGCTGGAGCTGCCAGTTGGATCGCTCTCTACGGAGGCTGGTGGAGGACCTTTCTCATAGACATTTGAGGCAGACATAACCATTACGGACTGATTCGCAGTTGTCTCCTGAACTGAAAAGACTCGGCAAGGTGGAAGGCAGGAACTTGGTACAGTACAACCGTCTGTGAGAGAATTCGTCGATCGAGTGACCAACGATAATTGCATTCCGTGGAGCCGGCTCGTCTTAAAGTCAGAGTCTTCCCCGATTTCTTGGTCGAAGCACGGCCATCTTTCAGCCGCGCGATGGCACACAAATCAACGCATGTGAGACTGTTGATATCCCCCGGTCCCCCGACTACCGAGTCGATTAAGATTGATAAGAGTATGCAGTAATTATCAAGAGCGAGGTGGGCCCTGACCTTTGTGCTGGAACTAGGCCACCAGTGTCGAGGTGGCCCAATGGATTAGCCGTCACCGTCCATCAGAGACTCCCCAGGCTGGGCAAGTAGTACCAAGTGTTCGGCTCATATCCGCGTCCAACAGACCGCGTCCGAACCAATGCTTTAGCGATGGGAATACACGCGGACAAAGCTTGGACCCATCACAACGGGGTTAACAGCCACTGACAGATGAATCCCACTGAGCCATCCCGTTCGCTTATGGCTAGGCATGGCTACTACAATTGCTAAGGATCAGGCTTGCTGTTAGCGTGACTTGGCTAAGGCTTAGTTAAACCCGACGGCCGTGATTTTGCTGTTTCATTGCTGTTGAGCGTAGAACTCATGCGCGAAGTTATTTAATGTGCGAAGACTATGATAGAAACAAAGTCTGAATACGGGGGATGTAAGATCGTTCGTGGCATGCGGTATGCGTCTCGCACGTATCGACCTTGTCGATGCTGGACCTACACGGGGCTGGGTGTGGATCAAACCCTATCTAGACATGCACTGTACTTCTTCTAACAAAAGTTCAAGGACTAATAAAGATAGCGTCAAAGATGAAGATCAATGTTGTACTATGCTAAAAATCGTCTTTTGGCATAGTCTCGTCTCCTTGTGCTCATGGCTTATGTCATGGATGCCCCCGTAAACCACGGCCGATAAGCTGCCCCAACTATTCGGGGGATACCTGACCCCCTGCTAGGGGTCCTGTCAAACAATCAAGCCCGCGTTGCCGCGGGCGATAAGCCCAAGTGACAGTATCCCGGGCGATAAGTAATTTATAGCCCTCATTCCCTACTGTAGCTACATTCAAACGAACTCCAATTGTGAACAAGAGACGGGCGTTTCGGGAGACGGTGAAAGGAGCTAGAAGACCAGTACAGCGCATAAACATGTGCAGAATTATTCACTGCGGTAGATCACGGCCATAAGCAATGATGTTTGAATAGATATTGGGCGGTATTTCAGCCTTGAAGCCTCGCCACTCGCAGCAAAGAGAAATAAAATACTGGGCTTCATTAGTCCGTACCACAGATGAGGAGTCTATTGTGTAAAGTATTTGAATCATTACAACGCAGTTCAAGATGACTTCTAGCAGTATCTTTCACGAAGGTGAGTTATTAGGTGCAGCACACATCTCATGTTCAATGCAGCACTGATCCTGACGCTCTCGGTATAGCTTTGCGGGCTGTTGCTATCCACCCTGTATTCGTTGGCACTGTTGTCGTTATTGCCTACATCCTGCACCGTTGTATCTATTGCCCCTTGGTTGCGTCTCCACTACGTCGTATCCCAGGCCCCAGGGCCTATGCCCTTACGAAATGGCGACTCGCATTTGAAGACTATAGAGGGGAAAGAACACGAACCATCCACTCTTTTCACCAAAAGTATGGGACTGCCGTGCGAGTCGGCCCTCATGAAGTCTCCTTCTCGTCGCTTTCAGCATTGCGTACCATCTATGGGGCTGGATCCGGCTTCGACCGGACAGATTATTATCGCATGTTCGATGTCTATGGGCGAGAGAACCTGTTTAGTTTCCCTGGCACAAAGGCACATGCCCAGAGGAAGAAGCTGCTTGCTCATGCGTACTCAAAGAGCATGATTCTCTCACCAACTTCTATTGCAAGACCACTAATAGAAAAGAACGTCAAGGAGTTCCTAGATCTGTTGGAGAAGGATAAGGCTGTTGCTGAAGAGACATTCCGCAGCCTGCACTGGTTCAGTCTCGACAGCATCACAGGATTTCTGTACGGCGATAAGCATGGAGGGACACATGCCCTCAGAGGAAACGACGCAGATCGAGCTCTTCTGAATGATATTATTGACCATGGCAGGAGAAAACTCAGCTGGTTCAATGTCCATCTAAGAGCATACACCTTATGGCTTTACTCAGCAACAGGAGTCATTGAGAATATTATCACGCGCCTTGGCTTGCTACCCATGAACAAGCCAGCAACTAACACCGGTATTCGGACTCATGCCTTGAAGTCATGGAATGAATTTGAAGCAACTGGTCACGAGCAGATTACTCCAGAGGATGATCAATCGATTATGTCGTTACTGTGGAAGTATAACAAGGGCGAGAAAGGACCTCGTCTGGATGGCCTCGACATTGCATCTGAGGTGGCCGACCACTTCTTGGCGGGAATCGACACAACCAGCGATACCCTTATGTATGTCATATGGTCTCTATCAAGGCCCGAGAACAGGGTTTATCAAGAACAGTTAATCGCCGAGCTGGATAGCATTCCCCCTGCCTCTTGCAATGATGACGGAAATCCGACGGCAGAAGTCGCAGATAAACTTCCTTATCTCGACGCGATCATCAAGGAAGCCTTGCGAATGTACGCTCCTATCCCTGCAATGGAGCCACGCTCCTTAAAAGTCGATACTGTGATAGATGGGTATCGAATTCCTGCCGGGACTATCGTAGGCGTTGCACCATACACACTGCACCGAAATCCGGATGTCTTCCCCCAACCCCTGAACTTCAAGCCTGAACGATGGCTTGGGGAGTGTGGGGACCCGGTTGAGATGAAGAAATGGTTTTGGGCTTTCTCCAGCGGTGGAAGAATGTGTATTGGCTTGCAGTATGCTTCCCCACGTTGTTTATTTTTCTTGAAATCTGCAAATGATGCTGATATGAAAACATCCTGCTAGTCTTGCCATGGCTGAGATGACGACGCTTCTAGCAGCCCTTTACCGAAAATACACGACTACCGAGCAAGATAGACAGAAGGGGGTAAGTCCTGGTATCAGCAGTCGCTTTGAGTTATTCTATGACGAGACATTTGACAGATTTGCGGTCGGTAAACCCATCCTCTTCCGCGTCACCTTTGCCGTCTTGCTAATATGAAGCGACAGGAGCACGAATGCTGGATCAACTTCGAAGAACGGCCTAGATGCTAGGCACTGTCTCAACCCAAACGCAACAAGATACGCCTCTTATTCGAGTGATATGATCAGTCTCGTTTTCTAGAGAATGTCTCTGATGGCTATATCTAAGATGCACCACAGACTCCCTGCTTCCTATATGGCATGCTCAAAATTGACGATTCATGAAACCATTCCTGCTGCCAAAGAGTGAGAACCTGGCGAATCGTTGGTGAAAAAATGCAACAAATTTTCAAGGACTTGGATTGAACGCGAAAGCCCAGGAGCCTCCGACTCCCAGTATCTGAAACCTGTGATGCCGGAACGGACAACATCTTCCCATCCTGCAGCTACGGAGATGGTCCCACATCGAACAGCTCCCAGGATACATAGTATGGCAGAAGTCTTGGCACGAGTTGAATACCACGTCCCGTGATGGCGATGACGTGTATGGTCCTCTTGCACAATAAGAAAATTGTAAAAGAGAGCCTTTTCTACAAACGGAAGTGCCATGTTTCGTTGAGGCGTGTTTGGTGAGTTGTGGATAGCGTAGTACAAGAAAGGGCGATAAAGCCATGCCTTGATTTCAAGTACGCGGCCACGAGCCATGGATGGCAATTCTTCTGCTGCAGATTCACTTTCCTCAAATTGAATGAGACCGGGAAGTGTGTTGTACCTGAAATGACATTGTCAGTCAAACGATGATTCAATTCGGGAGAAAAAGCTCATACCAGTCTTGTAGCTGAGTTTCAAATTCTTTCGCAGCCTCAATCATACTTGGAATGGATCCGGTTGTCCAAGGGGCGCTGGTCTCAGCATAGAATGCATTCAAAATGCGGTTGGCCATTCGTCGTAAAGTAATTTCGGTCAGGTAGTATAGCCAGCTCTGCTCTTGGCGATAGATTACTCCCAACTGCTGATGGGTGCCGGACAAGCGACTTGATCCTCCTATCGTCGGTACCCCGCCATCCGGGCTTGGTATATCAGGAGGGGATGGATGCATATCAGGATACTCAAGGTCGGCTAGAACCCCGTTAGGGAGTGGGAACTCCACACGGAACTCACACTCGGATTTGTAACAGCTCCAGTAAAGTCTTTGCTCCAGATGTCTGCTTTTGACTGTATGATGCTCTTGCTGGTCTGGTCGACGAGCTTGATGCTGCAAGTAGATGTACAGCAGTTGCGATGCTGAACGAAATTCAGTCCAGGCATCAAAAGGCTGCATTGTGTACATCAAATAGATCCCAGCCAAGAAATGACACTGGGCAGCAAGAATGCCTGTGCCAACAAGGCCGAGGCGTTTTCTAGCCATGTTGTAATACACACTCCCTCTCCTATGGTCGTCTCCGTGAGACTCTAATGATGTAGTCCATTGAGGTGTTGTGGAATCCGGCACAAACGGTTGTGCTACACATCCAAGGGCACATGCCAGGAGCTATATTAGTTAGACCGAAGAAGTTATCCAGATCCGCAGGTATCTAGCTATGAATGGAGACTTACAATGAGGCAAGAGACACCATCCCACCTGAGACCATTCTCAGCAACGTTCCGAGCATACGAGTCCAGAATGTCGACCTCTAAGACGGGATTCTTTATGTGGACCAGATCTAGAAATCGCTGCACATCTTCATGTATCGCGTCTTCGTCAATGGCGGTAACTCTCGCACTAGAAGATCTGTCCCTGCAAAGTGTGTTAGTGAACAGGGGTTAACAAGAAGGAATCTCCATATCTCACTCTCCGTCATGCATCCCCCCAATATAAACAGCATCAGTGAGATGGCCAGGTGGACAGGGATTCCCAAACACAGGCCACTGTAGGATAGCATCTGGCGCAGTCTTTGCGGCAGGGATACGGAGTTGAACCTCAATGGGCTCATCATCGCGGGGAGCAATGCCATTTTGCAGACCTGAATTTGGGGCCGCAAGTCTGTCTTGAGGAGTCTGAAGCTGTCCTAGCTGTTGAAGGACCTCATTCAACCGGTCCAGAATGAGCAGACTTGCTGGATCGAAGCTGCAACGGATCGGGTATTAGCAAATCGTCCTGGCGATGTAACAATCCCTCTATCCTCACCTTGAATGATCTTGAGAATCTGCATACACACATTCGGCCCTGGATGTCAAACAGCTATCACATGATGGGCGTGCATTGTTGCATTTAACCTTCTTGATACGACATAGGCGACATGCAGCGATGGACCTCTTCCGTGGGTACACTACAGCCGCCCTAGAGTTCTCGTTGCGCGGGCGCTTACGGCTATCATTGCCGCCGCTTGTAATAATCGAAGTTACTCCATGCTGCCCCGGGGATTCAACAGCTAGATGCGTTGGCGAACCTCCAGAAATGCTCTGTGGCGGCACTGGAGTCTGAGGCTCGGCTGCCGCGAAGACCTGTCCCCTGTTCTTGTCCGTTCCAGGGAGCGCAAGATCAGATTCTCCGTCCCGCGACATTGGAAGTCCAAGGGTCGGATATATGCAGCCCGTCCGCGGATAGCCGGGCCACAGTTTGTATGTCAGAGCAGGAATTCGAGGTTAGACGCAAAGATGCGGGAGCCGTAGGAAATCTGAAGCCGGGGAGTTTCGGGCATTGTGTTGGGGCTGTTAACAATTCTCAGTGCCCTAGCTCCGCAAGCGGTTTAGTGGGTTTGCGTCCCTTATCGTGGCCAACTTTTGCCCTTCGCGCTGGTAAATAGTGGGGCTGGTTAATATCAGTAGTAGTTTGCGTTTCTAGACTCTATAAAACAATCTAAAATGTTATACCAATACACCTCAATCTAGTCATTTTGAACAGACATAACCTATAATCAGTATTTTATTCTGGACAAAGCATGTAAGCGGCTACATGTCTGATATTGCAAGACGTCGACGAATTGATTCCTGAGCGACTACGAATTTAGCAGTGCTCTATAGTTAGACTAGGCTTCATTCTTAATGGCTTTACGACGGGGGTGAGCGGTCAAATTTTCTCTCTTTGAAATGAATGATATATGTCATGAAGACTTGCCACTCAAGATATGGCTAATCAGCATCGTCTTAATTAATCAAATAATCACTCGGCTTGAGCGAAATCTTCATCGCCAGAGTACCGTGACACCTTTCTCATGAGACTCCCTTGCGAGCTCGATAGTTCTGAGTGCGTCCCTTGACTGGGTAGGTTTTACTTCCAGCTCTGCCTTGCCGTTGATAGCCGCCGCTACATTTTCATACAGCCCAACCCATCGACCAGGAAGACTTGGGTATCTACCGGAGTATTTCCCAGAAGGCTCATCCAAGACCTGGACCTTGGTATCAAAAGGTGTTAGTGTAGTCAAAATTCCGTGTACACTTTCTGGTTCAACGCCGAACCCCGGCTCCAGGGGTCTGACGCCTTTCGCGATCTGTTCTTCCTGAACGCAGGTACTCCGCTGTTGTGTCTGCAATACGTTTGAGCTTGGGTTTCACGGCAGTTCATCGCGTGCGAAGGCATACCTTGACATAGGAGCCCTCAGTTCCACGGATAATATATTTAATCTGCTCTTTCAGCGGTGTGGTTACCGAAGTCTTGACTGTGACGAGCAAATCCTTTTGCGGACCATCGTACTGGAGGATGATCGTGAAAGAATCCTCCACATTGCTACCGTTGTCTATTTGGGTACGGTAGAAGCCTGTCACAGACTTCGGTCGGCCGAAGAGAACTAGCGCCTGGTCGACGCTATGTGAACCTGTCCCATCTGCTTAGACAATGATAATAACGATGCGAATTGCAAGGGGCTTACCCAAACCAAATGCCATTCCATTTTCTGGCGGAACAGGCCCTGTGACAGGCCTGAAGAGCCATGGTGGCGACTCGAAGTCATAGTGTATTTCCGCCTCCTTGATCGTACCCAGGGCACCTTGCTGTATGAGGCCTCTGAGCGTCCTGAAATCGCCATCCTATGAGTATCAATGTCAGCGGCATGTCCGCGTCAAATATTTCCGGAGTGGGGTCCGAGCGAGATGTGTAAGGGAAGTAATAACAAGGGCCACTAACCCATCTGCGGTTCTGATAACAGGTTAAGATCAATCCTTTGCTCTCGGCGAGTTTGATAACACGGTCGGCATCTTCTGCCGATTTCGCGAATGGTTTGTCGACGAGGGCTATGCGAATTAGCCACTGGCAGGAGGACATGGGGTTGAGGTGTGTGCATACCATGCTTCCCCGCCAGCAAAGCCTTCTCTGCGAACGAAGCGTGTGTATCTGTTCGGGTGACAACGACGACAAGATTGATATCGGGATCAGCGAAGAACTCCTCTTCTTTGCGATAGTGCTTGATATTAGGAAAGTCGACTGTGCAGTGAGAACCAGGCGCTGCTGATGCAGGGTCGCTGGGAGCTTCCGACCTCTGGAAAATGGCAGTGATCTCGTAATCAGGGATTGCTTGAATGAATGGTACGTGAAAGTTTCTAGCACCAAACCCGTAGCCAACAATTCCGACTTTAATAGGAGCCATATTTATGATCTTGTCGAAGATCAGATGAGTCGCGTTGGCAATGGCAAAAAATTCAGCTTTTTGATCGCGAGAGCTGGTTTTGTCCGCAAGAATGAACTTCTCTGCACAACGATCTGGATTTCTATTTATCTTTCCCCAGTCAGGTGGGTGTGGCTTCCGCATCATCTTTAGCGCGCATGCAAGTCATTAGCCGTCCTGCCAATAGCGACTATCACGCCCGAAACTCCCCGGGCCGCTGAAGGCGGGGAGCCGATGCAAGCATTCAGTTCACTCCGCGCTCAACGTAAGCAATTGAACACCTTCAAGTGCCTTCCGTCGGATGCCAATCTTCAAATGAAGATGTCTGATAACGGCAATTTCAAGAACTCTACACTGCGTCAATTGTGCACGGTTTATCGTCTTACCGCTCATCTTCAAACCTTTGATTTTCCATCCTTGAAATTCAATCACCAAATCATTTGTGACATGAACCAGCAAAATTTAGACAATTCTGCGACAACGCAGAGATCACTGAAATGTTTCTTTCGTAGCTTTCTTCCGATACGTGAAGTTAGGCAAAATCACAGATGTAACAGTAGGTAGTGATATTCAATGCCCGCCCAGCGTCTCGGTGGCGTCGTGCAAGCCTTATAAAACCAGAAATCGTTTCCGGTGTTGAATAACAGGAGCAATTGAATGTACCTTTGACCGCCAGTAGGGAACACATAGTTGAGTACTGTCAGGCGAAAATCTAACGAACTTAGATTAGCTGAGACTTGTGCTTAATGTTTACCTATTCGCACATTTTGAATTCAATTTTAACTCCGTGGTTTCATGCTTAGACTACGTCCTTATTAATAAGCGCTCCGCCTTCAAGTCAAATACATTTATTTATAATCCTGAGTATAATCTTAACAAGTAAAGGGTTCCATGTCATCGTAAGCGAACTATGATGCTGCTATTGGGGGTTAAGCATAATAGGCTCATCTCATATCAGCAGGTAATTCTATCGCTCAGGTATTATGTAGTATTTAGGGGTATATACACTTATTTGGTGCCTATAAGAAAGCTAGTATGCTAGTCCAAGAGGTTTGAGTGAGATGGCTGGCTAGCACTAGGTCAAGTTTCTCGAATGAGGCAAGAAGGTATTGGCAGAGCTCCTCGAATGGTATCGTGGGCAATGAAGAACACTAATCCACGATGAGGGGCATATACTACAACTGCATGATCAAGAGGCAAGTTCTCTGGCAATAGCTTCACGCCACCTGCGGCGATTGTGCTTCTTGCATACATAGCAGCTCAATCCGTCAATGGTATTTGTAGGTTTATACTATTCATCCCGCCAACTTAGTGAGGTAGCCCACAGCAAGTGGACAACCTGACGTGCCAAGTCATACATTAAGGAACACCTTTCTTTAAGACATAAGTCTTGAAGATTCTCGTGCTTCACGTCTGGCTCGCAAAGGACCGATTGGTAGGCGGGGTGCAGGTCTAACTTACTCATTCCGGTTTGAGCCCTACCAGCGGTTAATTTCCTGCTAAAGACTGTGCCGAGAAATTGCCGCTCATATGGCTAGCAACGCTTAGAAAGCCTGCAGTAATCAGTCGAAATCCACCATTAGCCATGTTATTGCTCCCAGATCTCCAATTTTCACGAAGTCCAGTCGGTCATTGTTTTACCGAAACCACTATGAACATCGCACGTTAAATATTGGTGCTCTCCATTCAGACTTCTTAGCGTCTTTCAAACAAGTGATTTGATCTCCTGGTAATAGGGCGATATCGGCATCACGATGCGAAATACATCACATGTATGAGTTCCGGCAGGGCCGGTGCAGGCCAAGCCCGCCTGGGGAAGTAGTGCCGGCCCCGGAGACCGTTGGACAAAAATTGCGCGAGTCAGTGGTCACCGTTGAGCAGTTCTTAGCTGCTCGCGTATCTCCCCAAACCGCGTGTGAAGGGCCGATTGGAGATGTGGGGAAGTGCTGGGGAGAGGTGAGAAGAGATGGGGAGATTGTGGCCGTCCCCACAAATGAGGTCACAAATGGGCACTGGTAGATTTCATCTCCCGAACATCTACCGAATGTGACCCACGATAACTTCGTTTCTCTGGCGTAGGATGAATAGAGACGCGGTTATATCCGCTCCTCAGCGTGTTTGGTCGACCGCTGCTAGTCCCAAAAGTGCTTCACCACCCACGTCACGAACAATTACTATCGGTCCGTCATCAAGCTATGTCTCTTGATCTCACATGATCTAAAAGTTGGGGCAGATTCGATGTCCTCTCGATCCAGAGAGCGCGTGCACCAGTATCGCCAGATGGACAACCATACCGCCTCGGCTGGGATGTAACCCCACTGCCTTGGTCTATACAGGCCATGCTATTCATTGCGATTTGGAGCCGCTGTGGAGTTCGCGGGGCAAAGTTGCTCATAGGACGTATCCGCAATCATGTTAACGGCATCAGGCGGCACATCCAGGCTAGAGTTCTCGGCTGGGGTATCATTCTACGATCCGGGAGCCCGGGATAAATTATATAATCCCACTCATTTCTCGCTCGAATCTTGATTGCATCATTGCAATATGTGTCACTCATGCTGAGATAATATTCCGCCATGGCTTCGATATTGCTATCTCTTGGCTTGTCCGCTCTAATTCTTGCTCCATGCGTCCGTTCTCAAGACTTTGATGCAGGGGACCGCTCCGATGATGCCTTCAGCTGGGTGCAACCCCTGAATACCACGATTCTTGGACCCTATGGCCATTCTCCGCCGGTGTATCCGTCACGTATGTTTTCCTAAGCTAGACAGTATTAGTACCACCGAATCCTCCCAATCATGCTAATTCTTGATGCCTTTCTATAGCACAAACTTCCGGGGCTGGTGGATGGGAGGACGCTCTGGCCAAGGCCCAGGCGTTTCTGTCTCAAATGACAATTGACGAGAAGGCGCTGATGACTACTGGCCAACCAGGGCCATGCGTTGGCAACATTCTCCCCATAGAACGCCTTGGATTTCCCGGTCTTTGTCTACAAGATGGTCCTCTGTCCATCCGTGTCGCAGACTACGCTAGTGTTTTCTCAGCTGGTGTCTCCATTGCATCCTCCTGGGATAGGGAACTGCTTTACGAGAGGGCTTTTGCTATGGGCCAGGAATTCAAAGCTAAAGGTTCTCAAGTAGCTCTTGCGTAAGTCTCACATTTTCAAATCACTTCCTTTGCGCATGAGTCCGATATTGAGTGTACGAATGCAGACCGGTATGTGGTCCTTTGGGAAGGTCTGCTTATTCAGGACGAAACTGGGAAGGATTTTCCCCGGACCCCTACCTCACGGGAGTTGCCATGGAGGAGAGCATCACAGGAATTCAAGATGCTGGGGTTCAGGCGACAGCTAAGCACTATATCGGCAACGAACAGGAAACACAGCGTAATCCTTCGTACGATGCAAACGGCTCCATCACATTCCAAGCTGTCTCCGCCAACATCGATGATAGAACCATCCATGAACTCTATTTATGGCCATTCGCCAACGCCGTCCGTGCAAAGGTCGCATCCGTTATGTGCTCCTATAACAGGATCAATGGTTCACAAGCCTGCCAGAATTCCAAGGCACAGAATGGTTTGCTCAAGGGCGAGCTAGGTTTCCAAGGCTATATCATGTCTGACTGGGGCGGTACGCACTCAGGCCTCGCTTCTGTCGAAAGTGGCCTCGATATGGATATGCCAGGTGGTCTAGGCCCTTACGGAATGGTAGCCGATGGCCACTCGTATTTCGGTGGGAACCTCACACTTGCTGTTAATAACGGCACCCTTGACGAGGCCCGTCTGGACGACATGGTTCTCAGAATCCTGACCCCGTACTTTCTTTTGGGCCAGGATCAAGACTTTCCGACTGTTGACCCTTCTTCTGCCGACCTAAATACCTTCTCCCCGAGAAGCACCTGGCTCAGAGATTGGAATCTCACGGGCGAAGTCAGTCGCGACGTGAGGGGCAATCATGGCTCCTTGATTAGGAAGCACGGCGCGGCCTCTACTGTCCTTTTGAAAAATGAGAATAGCGCTTTACCACTAAAGGCACCCAAATCGATTGCTATCTTTGGAAACGATGCCGGCGAAGACACCGAAGGTTTCTATAATCAAATTGATTTCGAATTTGGCACGTTGTCTGTTGGCGGAGGCTCTGGAACTGGTCGCCTTACATATCTTGTATCGCCTCTTGAGGCAATCAAGGCTAGGGCGAAAGAGGACAACGCTTTGGTGCAACAATGGCTCAACAATACTCTTATAATCAACTCTAATGTCACAGACCTTTGGATCCCGACTGCGCCGGAGGTCTGTCTTGTTTTCTTGAAGACCTGGGCCGAAGAGGGCGCGGACCGTCAGCACCTTGATGTTGATTGGAATGGAAATGACGTTGTTGAATCTGTCGCCAAGTATTGCAACAATACTATCGTCGTCACTCACTCCTCGGGCATCAATACCTTGCCCTTTGCTGATCATCCCAATGTGACGGCCATTCTCGCCGCGCACTATCCTGGCCAGGAGACTGGCAATGCCATCGTTGATGTTCTTTACGGCGATGTCAACCCGTCTGCCAAACTCCCGTACACCATTGCATATAATGGGACCGACTATAATGCGCCTCCTACTACGGCAATCAACACTACCGGATCGTGGGATTGGCAGTCCTGGTTTGACGAGAAGCTAGAAATTGACTATCGCTATTTTGATGCGCACAACATTTCCGTCCGCTACGAATTCGGCTTCGGTCTGTCATACACCACTTTCGGACTTGGCGACGATCTCGCAGTCGAGGTTCTAAATCAGAGCGCCACAATTACTTCTGCTCCTGAAGACTTGCCCATCCAGCCTGGAGGCAATCCTGCGCTCTGGGAATCGCTCTATAATGTGTCGGTTTCCGTCTCCAACACTGGTCGTGTCGCTGGCGCTGCAGTCCCACAGCTGTATGTGACGTTCCCAGACAGCACGCCGGTTGGTACACCACCAAAGCAGCTCCGCGGATTCGAGAAGATCTACTTGGAGCCTTGCCAAAGCAAAAAGGTTGGATTCGAGCTCATGAGGAGAGATCTCAGTTACTGGGATGTTGTCTCCCAACAATGGCTCATTCCCGAAGGCGAATTTACCTTGAGCGTGGGTTTTAGTAGCAGGGACATCAAGGCAGTGACGAAAATTAGCCCTTATACGGCATGAAGAACACTAGAGAATAACAGAAACTTAATCTGATAATGAAGGACGAGAATTGAAAGTCAAAGTCACAAAATTCAAACTCTACTTGTTGTAAAGACTTCGGATGAGTTGTCAGTGCGATCCTGCGTCCGTTCCGAGAAGAATGTAATAGAGTCTTAATACAGTAAATCCGTCATATGCCGTGACTACACCTAAGATGAGATCATGTCCCGAAGTCATGTCAATGCTCTCGGCATATCGCATATCATAAGCTGACATTTCCAATCCTGACTGTTGCGAGCTGGCTCGCTATTGGCGTTGATCACTTGGCGCGGGCTGGTCTCTATAAAGCGCTAGGCGATTAATATTAGAGTCCGTTACCCACTTAGACAGTAATAAGGTTACCCAACCATCTTTTCACAAATTCTTTTAGACCAAGGAGAACCTGCTATGCCGTCAACATTCATCGCCAACCCTCCACCAGTTGAATGTCTATGATCATCAGTGCTAACTTCACAACCGTCAAGAAAAATGGCTGACCATGAAGACATCACCGAACGCTACCCAGTAGCCGTTGTTGGTGGTGGGGCCATCGGTCTCTCGGCTAGCATCCTGCTTTCCCAGCGAAACATTTCACATGTACTCTTTGAGCGACATCCGGGCACATCGATTCATCCGAAGGCATGTGGTATCAATCAAAGGACAACAGAAATCTTCCGGGTCATGGGCATTGAGCAAGCTGTTCGCGCTATTGCATGCCCGGACGACGTCAAAGGTCGGACTGCCTGGTATACCGGCCTCGGAGAAGACGGTCGGGAGATTTGTAGCAGGGATGCATGGGGAGGCGGCGTTTATGCCGACGAGTATGCCACTTTCAGTCCTACCCGATATGAAATACTCCCGCAGATCAGGCTTGAGCCGGTGCTAGTCGCGCGTGCAAAAGAGTTAAACCCGGCTGCACTGAGATATCGCTCGGAGGTCACCTCGCTTCGTGAGGTAGAGGACGGAGTTATACTCACAGTTCAAACCGAGGAACAGGCTGTCAAGAAGGTCTTCGCTCGGTTTGTGATTGCTGCCGACGGTGGTAGGAGTATCACAGATCAACTCGGCGTGCCTTGGCTCGGCAAACGTGACATTTTGAAGATGGTGTCGGTACACTTCCGTGCACCCATCAGGTCTCTTCACCCCGACCCCAGAAATTTCATGACCTGGCTCACTCATCCCGAGAAGGGCGGGAGTGTGAGAACAGGATATTTGTACCAGATCGGTCCCTGGCCGTTTGATAGTCCAGAGGCACGGAAGAGCGAGGAGTGGGTGTTTGGCTTCGCTATCGCCGGCTCTGACCCTACCAAATTTGACCAAGCAGCAAGCATAGCTCGGCTGCGCAGCTCACTACGGATCTCGAATCTACCAATAGAGGTCATCACCGTTAGCCATTGGAACGTTCAGTGTCTTTCAGCCGAAAGATACCGAGTTGGAAGGGTATTCCTCGCTGGCGATGCCGCGCACAAAATCCCGCCGTTTGGTGCATTAGGAATGAACACAGGTATTCAAGACATATACAATCTTGTGTGGAAACTCGGATTTGCTCTGAAGGATGAGCAAGCATGCGAGGGTCTTCTTCAGAGCTATGATACTGAGCGTCGGCCAATAGGCCGCCGTGTTGGAGAGTCAAGCCTACACAATATGCTGTCCCATGGCCTTGTTATGGACGTGGCTTTGGGAATGAGTCCGGTGAAGTCACAAGAAGAGAATGCTGCAGCAATTTCTCCTTTCTTTGACAAGACACACCCTGAGCATGCCGAGAAGGTGAAGGCAGTAGACAACGCCCAGAAAGTTTTGGACTTGGAATTCAAGGCCCCTGGGGCGGAAGTCGGCTGGTTCTACCCGTCAGTGGATATTGATGAGGAAGGCAAAATAGACAACCATGGGGGCCAGCTTCTCGAGAACGGAGACCTCAACTCGGAGTTCTTTTTCCCCTCTATCATACCTGGTCATCATATACCGCACGTTTGGCTGGAGAAGGCTGGAATTATTATCGCTATACGTGATCTCATTCCCCAAAATAATTTTCTGCTAATCTCCAGTGAGGCGATATGGGAAACCCTGGCAAGTGAGAACGTTAATGTCGAGCTGATCGGCGATAGCCATTGGAGAGATATCACCAATCAATGGCCTAAGTATTCAGCAGGTTACGGGGCTGTCCTCGTGCGACCGGATGGCATCATTGTCTGGCGCGGAAATTGGCAGCAAAATCTGTTACAGAACTGGCCAAATGTCTTAGCTAGGGCTCTATTCCAGAAATAGTGAATCTATTCAAGGTACACCTGATACAATTCAATTAACAAGAGAGGTCCAATTTCGCACGGTCAATCTTGTTTAGCGTGAAGGCGATTCACCCTGCGTTTTCCTTCAGTAGCTCACCCCGAAATGTTTGACGACAGTTCACTGTGATGGTAAGATAAATGCTTTAGTTACAGAAAGGAAACATTTCCTGTAGCTTGTGTCCTCGCTTAATCCCGCTTCACTTTCTTACATGTTTCATTAGGTGGGCCCAAATGAGTTCCATAAGTGATCTCGAAAGAATACAACACTGATTGACAACAAAATGATGCTAAGAATAGACAGGATTGACGATGCTGATATTATGGCCTTTGGCCGATGGGATAACGGTGCCTGTATTTGTGATTAACAATTTGATCTATTCTAGATCTTGCATGTAGGGGTTGTCTGACTTGAGTAAGTCATCAGTATGGAGGGTGTCCTTACCAAGGTATCCTCACTTAGCTTTCCGACTAGCAATTCTTCCAGAACGCTTTTCGCGTCGTTACTATGTCCAACCTCATGAAAGGCTTCACTTGCATCTTGACCCAATACTTCCTCAAGGATATCATCGCCGCCACTATGTCAACCCGTTGGCTTGATGTGGATGAGGACGGCAGTGGTGACTGGATCTACTCACGGATGTGTTGACATATATGCAGTGATATCATAGACATTCCGGTTAATTATTATTAGTTTATTTTCGTTGCTTGATTGCTCAGAGACTTCTTTCGGTGTGAATGTCTTTGACATTGCGGAAGGTGAGTTAGATTTGAATATTCGGGCGACCTGGGTTCGATGTAATAAACAGAACAGAGCTTAAAATGCGAGGCTGGTTCTGTATAAGGAACCTTCCTTTGACTGTGACTGATTTTATGTACTGAGTAGTATCCATTACAATTTCTATGGAGTGCATTTGATTTGCTTTCAATGAGATGTCATTGGTGTGAGCGGTATTAAAGGCGTCTTTACTGAATGGGGAAATTTGATTGACCACGCAAAGCTACTGTAAGCTTAGATCGTAATAGATAAGATAACACTACTCTAGACCTGGTGCTGACCCAGACCACACGATCAGTACTCTAGATACAGATGGAATATGCCCTGTGTCATCGCATAGTTAGCAGGATGTTAGTGGACGATTTGGTTGGTGGGCTCCTGGCAAGGCTTTTGAGCTAGGGCAGTGCAATTGTGGCGACGCAGCGACACCTCCCATTTCAATGCAATATGATCGTCTTTTCATTGAGGGTTTCCCACCTGTCTTGAAGTTGCTTCGTCTCAAAAAGACACGGAGAAAAGGACCGCAAGTCTCAAATATACTCGTCATGGTCTCGAGCCTTTCGAAGATGACGTCCAAGGATACTTGGTCCGCCTACCGACTACTATTCAATTTGGAACAGCTATGACTATGCCACCAAGCTCGCCCTGCGCACAATAGCGCGTATATTTGGCAACATTGACGAGATTGTCTTACAAGGCTTCTTAGACCTCGAGTCCACCACATTTGATGATGAGCAGCGCGAGAACATGAGATCTGAGGCAGTCAAAAAAGGTGAGGAATTCGGTGCATTAGTTAGTCGTGATCTAGCGGAGCTCCTTATTGTGCACTGTCTGCAACATCAGAGCTACGTGTCGTTCTGGCGTGAGCTGTTCTTTCTTGTGGTTAGTGGAGCAATAGATGTGAAAGAAACGCTGTCTCATAGACTTGTGCTCAATATCTGTCATGAATTGGATGATTTGGCACGAGCTTTGTCAGAGTCCTCAGCCATTCGAAGGCGTATATCGTACGGTCAAGAGATAGACGAGAGATGCAAGGCAATCAGTGCTTTATGAGATATCCTATAGCGAAGGATTTGAAAAGGGGCTGAGATCATCAGCGTTCGTCCTGGAATGCTACACCAAATTGGGAAGACAAAGTTGAGGATGAATAACAGTTAAGACCTTCTGCCATCAGCATTTCTAAGGAACCCGCCAAATCTATAGCAGAAGAGTATTTAATTAACAATCTCGACAACCACTCAGACAGAATGATAGTTGGTGTGACTACGTTGTTGGGGGTCATAACTACAACGCTTCAACTCGCATCCTTTTTCAACACCGATCCATGGAACAAGGCTAAAGATTACCGTGAATCCGATTTACTGGGCCTCCTACAAAGCATGCTAGTCCAGTGGCTTGCACTGTTTCTAGCTTCTTTACCAATCATTCAGAATGGGTTTCTTCACCAGCCATGGATACTTGGCTTGAGTAGCGTGGCTCTCCTAACCGCGACGCTCGCTCCAGCGTTGCACGGCTCACTTGGGCCAGCATGGCCGAATTTGTTGTTGTTTTTCTCCTCTCTCAGTCAAGCTTAGACTGTATTACAACTCCTTCGAGGCCTACAAGTCGAGATAGCTCTACCAAAAAGAGGGATTAACGTGGGCTGGACAAGTGCATCCTGTTGGATTGTAATAAGCTTAGGACCTCCAAGTCTTCATACATCAACACCACCACATACATCACACCTGCATTGCGATAGCAATGTCTATATCTACACACATGACAGAACACAGGCGAATTGCTCAGATAGATACACTTCAAATGGAGCCTCCAAGCAAATGACTCTGGTCTTTCACTCGGGATTACTCTCATGAAGGTTAATGTTACATCACTTCAGATGAGCCCCCAATATGCCGTAACAATGCCATAGACCCTCTATATCGTCGAATAAGCCATGGCATATAGTATTCATCCTTCTGTGTTGTGATAGTGTAACTAGCGTTCCAGTGGTATATTCCACCAACTCCGAATCGGGTTAAAAGGTTGACCAATGTCTTCGCCAAGGCTACATAGACTAACCCCTTGCCCATCACGAAATTTATGACACTGCCTCTAAAGTGATGATTCTAGGTAATATTCTAGTCTAGTCATTATTATGTCGTCTGTAGAATACCGTCATATTGCGCCTCTCGATATTGGTTTCCCAAGTCCCCTCACTACGTTTCGAGTAAGCTGATTGTCCATCAAAGCGATAAACGCTGTCTCATCTCAAATGAGAATGCCATGACGCGAGTCAGCAGCTACATCGAACCTGAATAAAGGGAAACATCCATGATGCATCCTGCAAATTCTATACTTTCCACGGGAAATAAAAGGGAGAAGATGCCGCTATCACCTCGTCCCATCTCGCCTCACGTCTCAACACTAGATCTTAAGTCATAACTTAGAAGAAAAAGCTTGATCTTGTGATCTCACTCGAAGCTGTGTTTGCAAATATGCATCTTCAGTTCTTCAATTACCCCGGCACAGAGGAGAATGCTTCACAGTATCACTACTCCCAAGCGGTGCAGGTCGGGAATGTTGTGAGAACTTCAGGGCAAGGCGGGTGGGATGAGTCCGGCCACATCACTGCCAATCTCGAGAAACAGATTGACAGGGCATTCGACAACGTCCTGAGTGCGCTCAAAGCAGTCGACGCAGATTTGACGTTCGATCATATATACGCCATCCGCTCTTACCACATCGATATGGACTCGAGCTTCGATATCATGACGTCCGTGTTCAAGAAGATCTTTCCAAAACATAGGCCCATATGGACATGCGTTCAAATTGGAAAGTTGGGGTTGGAGGGCATGTTGGTAGAGATTGAGGTGGAGGCATTCATTTCAGCACATGAATGACTGCAGCACGTTGGCAGTCCTACGGAAATGTCGGCACAAGCGCAATTTCTTCGACACATGACTATCAAGGGAAACTCCTGAGGTCTTTCTGCCACTCATCAGATTTCATGGGCTGAAGGGTTATAACAACCGTGGTCGAGGAGATGACGAATTCTGAACTAGTAGTCTCAAGTATATCCATTCACTTGAGACAGTCATCAAAGCTCATCAAGCTCACCAAGCTCACTTCTCTTCTCCTGGGTTTGTGTGTGAACATGTGTCGCAAAAGGCACTTTGAGTGAGATGAGGCACACACTGACGAGTACATCCCTCCTCATTCGCTGAAAGCATGAAACGGACTACGCCAAATCGTACCACTTGAAGATATCAACGGTTCCTAGATAAGATGTATCCAATTGATGAATCTGGGCAGGATGGCCCCAGTATCTGAGAGCATGTACTGGAGAATGACAGCTACCCCTGAAAACACTGGGCCAGTGGCTGGTGGTGAAACGGCAGACCCACGTTCCCTATCAATATGGCGCATACAAGCGCCAACGGCTTTTGGCGCCGTGAGAGTATTTGTAGACATGTTCATGATGAGCACGACTCAGATCTCTTCGATGCAATTTGTGGTTCCCAATACACTTAAGTGTGTTTGATGCTACACTATAGCCGCTAAGCGCGCATATAAGGCATTCATTTATGAAGTACGCCCCGTTAATGAAGAAGGTCTATGATCTGATCAATGGTGGAGTTGTTCTTTGTGTCCCATCACCAAACCATAAGCACCAGGCGTTCTAGGCAGATTCAGGCACGGCAACGTAGAAGCGTAATGTGGAGCGTACTTCAGGGGAAGAATGATGTTCTGGACAGAGCAGGGTTCCACTGTGATCGACATCTAGAACCCAGGATCCGCTTACGTGTCAGGAGAGCCGGCGTCTGGAACAGATCGATTGCGAAACCGATTCTACGCCTTGGTAGAATGCGCAATTACCAGTAAATCCATCAAAAAAAGGGATGACACTCATTGTCTACAGCCATTCGCGATAATCTAACTGTTGCACCACCTGCACCGGACTTGGCGTACCTGTGTAAGTCGTAAGCTCAATCAAGTGGTGATCCGCAGTCCCGTCGCTCCCGCGTATGCGGGATTCCCGTCGGCGAGACCTGCATCGCCGATCCGGCACAGCCCAGGCCAAGCGAGAGCGAATGATCGGGCCCCATGACAAGACGGGCACCGGGTCGATCTCCGATTCCGTCCGCCTTATCAGTTGTTTCTACCTTTCCCGCTAGAAGCTTGTTTCGAAAGTCATAATGGTACGATATGTTCACCAAATAGTCCAA